CCTGGCTGACACCTGCAGGACACGGCCCACTCAGGATGGACCAGGGCCACTGGCTCATCTGGATCCGCCCACGGGCCACCAAGCCCTGTCCCCTACTTCCTCCCTTACCCTTCTTCCCCATGCTGCAGACGTGGCCAGGCCCAGGGGGTCCCATTTGAACCACAGGGGGCAGCTCCCCCCAGAGATCTTGGCTCTGCCCCACACCTTCCTTCTGGGGAAGTCCCTGTCCTTGGGCCGCCTGCCCTGACCCTGCCGGACAGGCCCAGGGAGCCTCCTGGGATGGACCCAGGACATGGCTCCCGTTCTGTGTAGGACTCGCCCAACCCTGCCGCCTGCCTGCAGCACGCCGGGGAACACCAGTGCCCCGTGCCAACCCCTCACCCGACCAGCATGGGAGCAGAGGGGGTGGGGGGAAGGGAAGAGGGCCTGTTCCACGCCCAGAAAAGGGCCCGAGAGCCCCACTCCAGGCTCGCCCAGCTTCAGGGACTGATGGCAGGCCAGACACACCCAGCGTGGCAGTTAGAGCAGTGGGTTAAGGCAGGAGGTTTCTGCAGAGGTGGTGCAGGCTCCGGTGCACCCTCTGCCGTGTGTCTGTGGGGAGCACCCCCAGCGCCCACTGCTCCACACGGCCACGCCCCCCTGTGCCTGCCAGGGATGGCGAGATGTTTGAAATGCTGAACTGGGTTCTGTCTCCATAGCAACCAAACCAGGGAAGCCCTCAAAGAGGTGGGGGTGGGGAGCTGGGGTTGAGAGAGTGAAAAGAATTGAGTGTGCAAAGCACGTGGGAGACTGTAGCCAAAGGGGGAGAGAAACGGGGGTGAGAAGGGCACTGGAAGGTCGTCCCAAGCTGGCCCGGATCGGTGATGCAGCCACTCCCCCAACTGGGGATTCAGGCCGCCCTCAGTCACGGCCCTGGCACAATTAGTGTGTTCAGTGCCCAGAGGAAGGAGGGTCTCGTGACTAAGGCACTACCCACCGCATGGCAGAGTGCTGCCAGCCCGGCCCCCGCCGCCCTCAACGCCTCCCCACACATTGCAGCCATTCGAGCCTGGAGCGAGCCCCCTGCCCTGATCTCCCTGCCCGAGGCTCTTGTACCCCCCCCTTTCGGCCCGAGGACGCTACGAGCCGCTGTTCAAGGCAGGTTCCGGACGCAGCCCCAGTGCAAGACCCTGCTGGGAGACGGGTGGAGGAATTCCCGTGGGGGGCAGAGCTGATGAAAGCAGATTTCAAGCCAGGGAGGGATGGGAGAAGGAAGAATCGGCCCGAGGCCTGTAAGCGCGTTTCGCAGAGGCCACTGACAGTCACCAGGCAAGGTGCTTTCTGTGGACCTGGGCAGGGTCCATTCCCAGCCTGAGACAGGCCGCTCCCCCGTCTCCTAGCCAGGCTGCATGGAGTCGACTCTGCACTGACTGAACGGGAGGCTCGTTTCCCACACGTGCCCCGGTGCTCAGGGAGCCGGAGGGATTGAAAAGGCGGCTGAACAAAGCACCAAGACGAAACTCCATGATCAAACCTGCTGTCACAGGTGCTGGGGGAAGATGAAGAGACACGCTCAGCGAAGAGACTTCAGAAGGCAGAGAGGGGAGGGGAACCGCCGACAGGAGAGACGACACAAAGGCAGCATCAAAGTCCTCGCCAGAGCAGCCTGGCCAGGGAGGAGTCTCATTACTCTCGCGCTGACGGGTTTGTGGGGAAATCAGCACACGGGGCTGGGGCCATGTTCCATATTCGGAGAGCGATCAGTGCGGTTCCAACAGCTGCCCGAGCCCGCGAGTCGCCCTGTCTACAAGGCAGGCTCTCGAGGTCCTCTTCATTCCCGGGGAGCCGGGCGAAGGGGGCTGCCCAATTCAGACACATCCTGATGGCCAGTCTGGCCACACCTCTCTAGCCACATGGCCCCAGTCATCCAGCCAGACATCCAAGCTCCTCGCCTGCTGCCCCAGGTGGAGCTGCACCAGTGGCTGTGCAGAGGGGATGTGCCCTGGGGATTCGCATGGCAAACCTGTGCCAGGATGGGCATATGGACCCGGCTCTGGGGCAGAGAACAGGCCCAAGGTGGCTGAGACGCCCGACTGGTGCGGGACTCAGGGGGCAAGCGGCCCCCCAGAATGGGATGCAGCTTTGCAGAACCTTTGCCCTGGCACCATGACAGCAGGGACCGGGGCAGACTCTGGCTAGGAGAAGCCTGTTTGCTATTTGGACCACGCCCCTGAAACAAAACTGGGTGTTGCCCTCAGTGCCTCCGGCTGCAGAGTCCCTGATCCAGCTCGATATGCCAGGGTGAAACCAAGCCCTCATTCCAACCAACAGCCCTTGGACAAGACGCCAGTCCCCCGACCAGGAGAGTCCAGACACCCAGTTATTTATTGCAAATAAATATTTCTTGGGGGCAGGGAAGATGCGAGTCACAGAAAACATCCCCCCATCACCAAAGCAGAAATCACTTCCCTCCCTGACGGGCCCCCCACCATAGAGCTGCGCTTAGTTCTGAGGCTCCAGAGTGAAGCACATTCCCTGATGGCGCACACACCGCCCCGCCCCCCCGAGGTTAAAGTTCGCTGAGCCATGTGCACTTGGCCAAGTCCTCACGCTGGGACATCCGGGGCCATTCTTGGTGCAAGAGTCACTTATTCATTGGGCGGGGTGCAAACCAGCAGCATCCATTCTGCGGCGTCTAGTGGGGGTGTCAGGGAGGGAGGGAGCAGAATCCAAACTGCTGTGGGTTGGTCAGAGCTAAGGATATTTGCTCCTGAGATGGCCAGGGAATCCTGTTCAGATGTGAATCAAAGACCTCTGACCTGGTCGAGTTGGATACTGCGATTGAAACCAGGCTCCGGGGAGGGAAACCTCCGTTCCTGGAAGGGAAGAGGGGCCCGTGATGGTCCTGTGGCTGACTGGGGCTGGAGAGCCGTCTGGAGCTGCAGGTCGGGGGACAGATCTGAAATGTGGCTCAGAGGGACCTTGGGATAAACAGGGTTCGGATAACGGGTCACACAAATTAGGAGGAAGGGAAATTATCACAAAACACGCCAGACCAGCCTCCCTGATGGAGCCCCTCCCCTGTCTCTATTAGCTGTTACCCTCTCAGAACACCGCCAGCCGGGCCAGGAAGCCAGGGGCCAAGCTGACCTTGGCTCAGGGCTTTCAGACTCCGACTTGGGGAGAAGCTGCCCATCTAAACAAGAGGGAGTGGCAGGGACCAGCCCTGGGAAGGGTGGGAGCAGGTGAGAAACCGAGAATCACCATGAGCAGGAGCAGCTGCCCAAGGGAGAAGAGTTTGGATCCCTCCTTTGGGCGTGGGGGGCTGAGGAGTGACACCCCTTGAGCCCCATCCCGCCCAGGTCAGGCCGAAGGATGGGCCAGAGCAGCTGAGTCTCTGGAGGGGAGGGAGAAGGGGTTACACGGGCAGAGCGATCCCCCTCCCTTCAAACACCAACATCAAGTCAGAAGCTTCCACATCAACCTCCCCCGCTGCGTGGTCTCCAGGGGCTAGGAAGAGCCCTGGGCAGCAACCCCCCAGCTGTAAGCGCCTGGGGCTCTCACTTCTCGGCCACCCGTCTCTGCTGCCGACGCGCCTTCTTCTGCAGCTTCCTCTTCAGCTGAAGCTGTTTCTTCTCCTGCAGCGTCTGCTGGACCCTTTCGCGGAACTGCTTGTTCTTCCTCTTGATCTTGGCCAGCTCCGCCTTCCTCTTTGCCTCCATGTCCGGGTCCTGCAAGGGCAGACGCCGAGAAACTGACGACATGCAGCGGGGTTCTGTCAGCCCTGCCCCCACCCAAAGGACCCTGGCCTTCCCCAGCTGCCCGTCCGTCTCCAGAGACCACGTGCCCTGGTTACTTGTGCACTCTTGCTCTGCTTCCTCACCCTGCTCGACCATTCTCCACCCCAGAGGAGAGGGCTGTGGTCCAAATCTGGGGCGGGGTGTAAGGACTCCTGGGTTCTATTCCCGGCTCTGCCACTGCCTTGTGCACAAATCTGGGCAAGTCCCTTCCCTTCTCTGGTTCTCCTATCCCAGCCTTGGACCTCCTCCGCTTTCCTAGCGCTGCTCCATGCTGCCGCTCCCCTCCTCTCTCAGCTGCCCGTTCTGACCCCCCACTGGGGGCCAAGGGGGGCTGCAGAGTAACGTCCTGTCAAGCCCACCCTGCTCTTTGAAGCACAACTGACTCTGGAGAGGAACGTGACACCAGGTCTGAAGGACGTAATGGGACAACCCATTTGTCAGTAGCTCTTCATCATTCTCCTTTCAAGGCGAACAGAAGCTGCTCAAAGGGGAACGAGGCAGACAGACTGCAGGAGCGAAGGGGGGGATGGGTGTCTTGTGCTGTGCGACAGGTCAGTGCTTGTCCTGGTACCTGGCGGCAGTGGCTGGAGCGCATCACTCACCTTTCCTTCCAGGATCATTTGCTTCCGCTTATTTATTTCCTTCTTCTCATCAAAATCAGTCGCCTCCAGTTTCTGCCAAAGCAAAAGACAAAAGCGCGATGAGGAGCCAGGCAGTAGGACCGGCAGCAAGGCTCCGAGGAGGGTCGCAGGCCTGAGCAGAGCTCTGCCGGACTTGGCAGACCCTCGCTCCAAAGCCCAGGCCCCCAGCGCACTGCCGAGCAGGCCAATATCACCAGACGGGCACACCTTAGAGACGGGGAACAGCAGACCTGGGTCCCTGCCCCAGCATTTGCATTACAAAAGCTCATGTCCTGCACAGGCCTCCTCTAGAAAGGGGAATGAGTCCCGAGCCCTCCACACAGCTGCATATCCAAAGCGAGGGCTGCACACCCTGCCGAAGCTAAATGCCCCTCGCGGGTTAGAGGGGAAGCGTTTCCTGGTCAGAGGAAGCCGGCTCCCCGGCCAGGGCGCCCCACGCTCCGGTCACTTACGATTTCACACTCCCTCCTGGCGACGTTCACCTGGGTGAGGATGCTGAGTACCGCACGCTCCTCCACCGAGAACTCCTGCAGCTTCGTTTCTAAATCGGGACACAAGACACACGGACAGCTCAGAGACTGGTACGAGAGCAGGGGCCAGCCCCTCCGCTGCAGGGAGATCAGGGTCATTACTGACTCAGAGCGCCCCAGAGAACTTTCCCCTTGCTATCACTGGGGATAATGGGACCATGTACACGGGACCAACCCCCCCACGGCGACCAGAATGAGAGACCGCCTTAGTCTCTTCACCCAACCGCCCTACGGAGAGCCGGGCTGCCAGGACTCCCCAAAGCAGGGCTGCTTCAACTGCAGGCAGGAGCCTTCTCCACTTCCTGAGGAGCGCTGCACAGCCTAGCTAGGAGCTGCTGTCCACAGCTGCCACCCTCTGTCTCAGGGTGGGGAGACGCAGCCCTTGCTAAGCCCTCTGCAATCCCGCTGGGTGCGAGGCGCTACGTACCAGTCGTACTAGAGTATCAGAGACCAGAAGGTTTGGTGACCGGGGCGGCTCCCGCCCTGGGGGAGACACGGAGCTACTAGATTTGCAGGGCCTCGGCTGCAAAGCCAGGGGAGAGAAGCTGTTTTTCTGCTACTAGAAGGCTCCTGGGCCATAGGCTCTGTCGGAGAGGCCGTGGCTGCAGCCACGCCTGCGCTGATGCTCTCCACTTACTGATCTGCTCCTCAATGGCATGCACCAGGTGGATGTCGTACTGCGTCACCAGCGTGATGGCGAGTCCGTGCCGGCCTGAGGGATGAGAACCAGAACCAGGCGCTGGTGACTAAGTGAACTCTGATGAGCAGTGATCCCCAGACTAACCCTCCCCCAGACCCCACTCGCCTCCAGGAATTAGCACAGGCGCACTGTGGAGAGGGGCAGTGAGGAGAAGGGTCTTCCATTTGCTCAGAGGCAGGTTACCGGCTGCTGTCCGAGGTGGGATACCAGCCAAGACGAGTCAGCGCTGTGAGCGGTGGGGGCAGGACGCTGGATCAGTGGCCTAGTCTGATCTGACACTGCACAGCAGCCAGCAGGGGTAAGTGGCCTGTGATATACACGAGGTCAGCCAGAGGGTCTAATGGTCCCCCCCCCTTTCTGGTCTGAAACTGGATGAAAGAGGAATCGGGCAAGAATCCCATCACTGGGTCTCTGCTTTGAACCGTGGCACTACCCAACCCGTGCCTCTCGCTGGCTTTCCTTCCTCACCTGCACGGGCCGTCCGGCCTACCCGGTGGATGTAGATTTTCGGCAGGCCTGGGGTGTTGTGGTTGATGACAACTTGGACTGTTGGAATGTCTAAGCCCCTGGAGCGCAGCAAAGAAAAGGGGGTTGAGGAGACAGCAGTGGGGCATCTCCTGATCTCAGCGTTCCCCGAGAGCCCTTGGAGACTCGACACCCACGGGGCCTGCAGTGACCAGCCCGAGCCGATTCCAGGGACTCGGCCGTCTCCTCATATAGTCCTCAGAACCAGGGACCAAGACAGCTTGCCCCTGCGTGTCACTCTGCAGCCCAGTCAACTGCCTGCCGTTCCCCTCGGGGCCCAGCGGGCTACCCAGCCCCTCCCACAAGGCAGCTCTATCAGCACGTGAACTCACAGGTTACAGCGTGAAAAGGCAGGGGATGAACAGAGAATCCAGCTACAGCAGGTACATAAGCGAGTTCCAGGGTGTTCCCTAACCCTGGGCCATGACTGAAGGGAACAATCCCTTGCCCTGACCCAGACAAGACCTTCGAGCTCCCCTCTCGCAAACCCCACCCCACAGCTCTTGGGTGGTTCTGCTGCTTAGGAAACTCGCTAGAGCTCTGTAGCCGCAGAGAGCAGCTTCCCCTTCTCCTACCTGGCAGCCACGTCAGTGGCGATGAGGATCTTAAAGACGCTGGACTTGAATTTTGCTAAGGCTGCAAAGCGCTGCTTCTGCAAAGGGAGGAGGAGTCTGGATGAAGCCGCATGCCCTGCACAGATTTCTGGCTTCAGGGAAAACAGCTATCAGCAAAGAAGTGTGCATCCCTGACCAGGCTGGCAGAGGGCAGGCGAGGAGCGAGGGACCTCAGCAGAGGTGGGTTTCTGAACCCAGCACAGCACCCACCTGGCTTGTGCCCAGCAATGCCCCTTCCTTAGGGAAGACAACAAGAGTCACCCCCTGAATGCCCTCGCTCAACGGATAAATGTGTAAAAACCTGAGGCCTTCATTCCACAGCATAGCCAAGATGTGCGCGTGCCCCAGCACCCCACTGCGCAGCCCTGCTGGGTCACTCACCTGCTTCATCATGGAATGCAAAGCCACTGACGGGAAGTTGAACTTCTTCAGCATCATGTTCAAGATCTGGCAGTTCCTTAAAAACAAGAGATGTTTCCCAGTTACATATCTAGTCCTTGGGGAAGCTGATGGCCTAGAACAGAGCCTCCCATGACCCAGGTACACAGTGCCTCGGCTATGCTGGCAAACAGAATGCCTATCCCACGCTTGGCACTCGCTCACAGGCGGCCACTGGACTGGCTGTTAAAGGTTGGTCAGGACACTAGGGGGAGCCCAGACTCTCTGAAGAGCACTGTGGGATTTCCTCTGGGACAGTCACTTCTTGGGTTAAATCCCTGCAACTGGACTCACTCAAGGGAAGGAAATGGGGCGACAATCACAGAATCACAGCAACTTCTGGCCCTACTCCATCCCTCCACGGTGCCCTATACTGGAGAGCCCCAGGAGGACGCAGCACAGCAGTGCCCACTGCAGCTGGAGACCGTTGTGACCACAGCCCCTCTCTACACTGTTGGGTCGGGACTAAGCAGGTCAGTGGAGATACTCAGACTTGGCCCTTCCATAGCGTGCTGTTTCCTGGCACTGGGAAGCACTCACCTCCCAGGAGCTAGGAAAGGGCTCGGACCCCACTGGAGTGCCTGGACTAGGGCAGCACGTGCCTTTCTGGCTTTACTATCGTTAGCGGGGGAGTTTGGGGTCTGAGCTACCGAAGCCTAAACATTACTATGGCCCTGGCTTCGGACTCACTTGCAGGTGCTGGTGAAGATGATGATGGACCAGTCCTCGTGCTCATCCTGGAAGGTCTGGATTAAATGGACGAGGTATGCGTCCTTGACTTTCTCCGGCACGAGCAGGTAGCGCTGAACCAGCTCGTCCACGGTCCGCACTCTGTTTGGGAGGGGAAGGAAAGGGACATTATCCTGAGATGGGTCAGATTTGGGGGAGGTGAAGGATACAGTGGGGAGATGGGGCCACATGCAGAGGGGAGAATGAAGCCGGTTAAGTTAGACAACTGCCCAGGATTCTCGTAAGAGGCCCAATTGCTGCCAGTCCCTCCTGTGTTTTACTAGTGGGACTAAATAAAACATAAATACAAATCTAAAACACCAAAAAGCCTGGGGAGGTGGCAGCCTGTCTGACTGGCTCCCCAGCTCCCGACGCCGGGGACTCCAGGGCAGCCCAACTCCTTTAATTTACATTAAATATCTCTGATGGCTCACAGTTTGTGGGGTCAAAATACAATAAAGGCAAAGGGGAAGTGACAATTTCAGCCGTATTCAGCTCTGCCCTAGTCACCCAGCTGCTGGTGCCACCTTCCTCGGCAGACCACCCGGTGCAGCCAAGCACTGGGGAAGCCGGGCAAAGGAAGCGAGGTTCAGTATGTCCAGTACCAAGTCCCCACCACCTAACAGCATAGGGTGTGACTGGGACCGAGTGGTTAATGGGGAGAGAAGTATCGACCATTCCCAATACTGCCAAGGCAGTCATGAGGGGAAGCCCAATGTGCCGACATTCACAGCCTCCCTGCTGTATACTGGGAGGGGGACACCACAGGAAACAGCAGGAGACTTACTCGGCCTGAGACTCCCAGAAGAAGGGTTTGTTCATGGCGAGGCTCTTCAGCTCGTTCAGCGTGTCTGTCAGCGTAGCACTAAAGAGCAGCGTCTGCCTGGTCGCTGGAACAGCCCCCAGAATCACCTCCAGGTCCTTGGTGAAGTCAGTACAGCCCTGTTCCAGCAGCCGGTCAGCTTCGTCCAAAACCTTCAACACGTGGCCGAAAACAAGCAACACACGCCAGGCTGAGAGGAGCCGCACCACCCAGGGGCGGGATGGTCCCGATGAGGCAGCCCGGCCTCCAGCCAGGAACTCCAGAGTTCCAACCCAGGCTCTGACATGGATTCTGTGGCCGTGCCTGAGGCCCAGAGACTGCGATTTAGTTTCCCCACCTGTAACCCAGGGAGGATAATCCTCACACGCTGTAAGAGATATCAACACTTGCACAATAACGTGCTATCGAGTGTGAGCACCACATGGAGCCACAACCAAGGTACGACAGAAGACTGGACAAGGGAGACTGTTCCACAGCAACACAATAATGATGCCGAACACAATCTACCCCGTACATAGTCTACAACACTTCTGAGCCCCCCAAACGCTCCACCATATTGAAGTTACAGGGCAGGGGGCGAAGTTTCCAAACCCAGCTGAGACGGTGGCTATATGAAGGAATTCAGGCCTGAGGTATGCGACAAGGAGACTGAAGCGAAGGGTTATAGGCAAGACAAAAGAGAGGCTTTTGCATGAACGATGGAGAGAGACTGGGGCACAGAGAGGCTGTTTCCACTAACGCAGACACCATCTGTATTTCAGCACCTAGATACAATGGCGAAGGGCCCCTCACAAGTGCCATTGACTCATTCTCCAGAGCCCAGGTCCCCTTGTGTGACAAGCTGGTGCATTTGCAGGCTCCAGCTGTTGGATCTGTGACTGTTCAGCCCGTGGAAACCTCAAGCATCCGCAGCACCTGGCCCAGCCCGGCATCTTGTTCCCCACACACAGCAACTCACTTTAGATGCTCCCATGTCTAGAAAGGGAGACGGTCACAGCGGGAAAGGAACTGAAGCGCTGCCTTACCAGGAACTTTATCTTTCTGAGGCTGAAGGTGTTGGAGCTGCGGAGATGATCAGCCAGCCGGCCAGGCGTGGCAATGACAACATGAGGCTTACGGGAGAGTTCCAGAGCCTGGGCCACCATGTCTGGAAAAACAACACCAAGGGAGCAAAGTTAGACGCCCCAGGCCAGGATCTGGGAGAGCAGCCAGCCTGCTGGAGAGGTCTCCTCTCTCAGGCCTCATTCTACAAGACGCAGTCGATGTGAGTTGAGGGCACCGAACAAGGGGAACGTGGGACGCTCCCCATCTCCCAGGGCCGGACACTAAAACCAGGCATTGCATAGAGGAAGAAGTCCAGGGAACCACGGTGACAAAAAGGCTTCCTCTTAAACCCAGCGACTATTTGGGACTTTCCAGCATCATTTATTTACCAAGGATCATTAAACTTTGGCCCTTTCCAGCCGGGCCCTCTCCAGCTACTTCATGTTGCAATGAAACAACAAATGAAGCCAGGATTTTTAAAGGAGCGTTTGAAAATTCCAGCCCGAGGAAGCTGGAGACACCTTCCTCATTTCATGAGCGTCGGTCCGACACATCCTAGGCAGAGGAGGACAACTCTACGGCAGAAGAATGTCGCGTCTGAGGGAGAAAGTCGCTCACTTAAACCCTGATACTGGATACCAGGTGATACACAAGGACCGATGACAACGACATTGCTTTTTCTTTAAAATGCTTGCCTCGTCCCTAGCAAGAGGCTGGGCCCCTCGAGCAGAGATGGGCACCCAAACGTTGCTTAACTTGGCAGTTTACTAAGAGGCACTTGAGGGCTGCTATTTGTTTCTTAATGAACAACAAATCCCACAGCCATCAACCGTTATGTCTGCTCAGGTTGTCCCTTCAATGGCAAAGTACACCAGCAACAAAACCTTAGAGCTGATTAGTTTTGCCCTCTCCTTGTGATTGCTGGGAAGGGACAGTCACACGTCAAATACGGAGAAATCTGTTAATGGACAAAAGAAACACTGTATTTTGGTGCATTTCAGGTGCGCGTAAGGTTTTACTGGAACTAGAGAATTCCGCACCTTCTGGACAAGCACAGTTTCCCTAAAGCCACCTTTTCCTCCAGTCACCGCACAGACTTCAGAGCCATCAGTGCTCTGAAACTGCATAGCCCCTTAAAGTGGATCAGACACGTAACTGTGCCGTGTCTTCTCAGAGGCCAGTTTATAACCAGCACACACATACCCATCCCTCCAACGATGATGCAGTCCTTCAAGCCAAGTGGCTTCCCCAGAACACGGAATTGTTCAGCAATCTGATAGGCCAACTCCCTGTCAGAGAGAAAGAAAAAGGGGAAAAATAGAACATGGAAATATCAGAGTTATATTTATTACCCTTGTCAGGGATGGCTGGTCCCTGAAAAGAGAATCAAAGCCCAGTCTTCCTGTAATGAAAACGGGCCCACCTCAGCCCATGTGTGAGCAGATACCGGCTAGCCAGCCTCCTCGTGAGCATCTGGGCCTCCGAAGGCTCCCAGAATGCAGTTAAAAGGAGGCGCTCCCAGAGACACCAGCAGGGGAATGTGGCTACCTGTTAAGCTCTCCCAATCCAGGGAGAAAAGGACTAAGGTAAAAGGGGCCTGGGAAGAAGGGAGCTGGTTGGAGACCGCAGTTGGCCTGAATTAACAAGCACTACCCAAGGAGGAGGCCTGTGGGTCTCCTATGCCAAGGAGGAAGAAGCCTGACAGGAAATCCCCTCAGCCCAAGGAGGGCTGGGAAGACCTCTGATCCTGAGGGGAGCTCTTTTGGGGGGAAGCGGAATTGAACTGGACCCCAGGAGAAGGGGATTATTGTTTAACGATTCTGGATGCAGGTTGTTTCCTTCTGAATCCCAGGAGACGGGATTAATGAGGGGATGATGCTGGCAGGGCCTTGCCATATCATGAAGGGCGCTCTGGGGCAGCACAGTGCCACGCTCGTGTGTTCAGAATATGGAAGAACAGGAATGCAGGGAAATGACAGCTGGAGCCAGGAAAATTGTTTAACCAATATATCCCTCCCTTTGGCTGAAAAACCATCTACTAAAACACCATGGTTATACTGTGTTCCCACTGCAGGAGATCAGTGACTAGAGACTGAAAAGACTGGGATTGTTTACCCCAGAAAGACAAATAACAGGATAAGATTTAAGTGCAATGGTTTAGGAAAATGCATTTCTTTTGTCCTGTTCTCAACACCGAAACTATGGAACAATCAAAGGAAAAGGCAGTGAATTCAAAACTGCAAATACTTTTTCAGTCTGGTGCCTGATTACACTGTTGGAACTCATTGCCACAGGATGTCATTGCAATGAAGACTTTACTAAGAGTCAAAGGAAAAGTATCAGAGTAGCAGCCGTGTTAGTCTGTATCCGCAAAAAGAAGAACAGGAGGACTTGTGGCACCTTAGAGACTAACAAATTTATTAGAGCATAAGCTTTCGTGGACTACAGCCCACTTCTTCGGATGCATAAAAGTAGTTTACATGGATAACAAGAATATCTGGAGTTATGGCCAATACAAAACAGTTTTGGACGGGATAAAAATCCATGCTTCAGGGTTAGACCCATCTCTAACTATTAGGCATAAACCCTTCATGGGAGGCAGATTATACCAATCCACTACAGAGGGATTTCTTGCACCTTCCTCTGAAGCATCTACTCCTGGCCACTGTCAGGGCCAAGACACTGGACAACATGGGCCATCAGTGTGAGTCAGTAGAGCTATTCCACAGACTCAAACGCACCCTCCACCTCCATGACTAGGCCCCGCTGATCAGTGACAGATGAGGTTCTGTTATCTCCCTGCTGATGGAGCAACATGAACACCTAAGGCAAGAACCTTCCTGAGCCTCTTACAGGTGATAACGGGATTTGTTAGAAAGCCGGTGAAACGAAGCGACACAATTCAGCCTTACCGTGTGGGTGTCAGCACCAGGCAGAATATACCATAGGGATCCTCAGAGAGTTTCTGCAGGACCGGCAGGACGAACGCAGCTGTCTTGCCGCTGCCCGTCTTGGCGCAACCCATGCAGTCGCGACCTGCGTGCAAGAGACCAGAGTGGCCGGGTGAGCGTGTACCCAGGGTGCAGAGACCTGGCTCCAAATGTGCGCAGCCCTGGGAAAGGCCCTTCACTCCCATCCCCTCCCCCAACTCAGCCCCCATGGCCAGGGGACGTTTTCAGCCCAAGACACAGGGGATAAGATTGGGGGGGAGGGAAAGACCCAGAGGCCTCGCTGGTGGGTGGGAGGGAGATGCAGTGGGAGGGGACTGAGGGGGGCATTGGGCTGGGGGGGGTGTACGGGGCCCCGGTGGGGGGAGGGGACTGAGGGGGGCATTGGGCTGGGGGGGTAGGGGCCCCGGTGGGGGGAGGCACTGGGCTGGGGGGGTGTAGAGGGGCACTGGGCTGGGGGGGTGTAGAGGCCCCGGGGGGAGGGAGGGGGCTGGGGGCGGGGCCCAGCTCCGCTTACCCTGCAGGATGGGCGGGATGCAGGCGGCCTGCACCGGGGTGGGGCGGCCTATGCCCAGCTGCTGCGCCTGCTCCGCCAGCCAGGCCGCCAGCCCGAGCCCGCGGAAGCTGGACATGCCGCCGGGACAGGGACCGCGTCGGAACGAGCCTCACCGGCGCCTCGCACGCCACAGCGCACACTTCCGGCGCCAGCAATATACGTCACCAGCCCCTCTCTTTCCCATTGGCTCCCAGTTCTCAGTCCATAGGAAAAACTACGACTCCCAGTGTGCCCCGCTCCGCACCCACTTCCGGTGTCGCGGTGTTTTACATCACCACCCCCTCGCAGCCCTATTGGTCTCCGGAAACTACAACTCCCAGCGTCCCGCGCGCGGGGGCTGCTTCCGGAGACGTGGCTGGGTCTGGGGAAAATGGCGTCTGCGGCGGCTCCGGGGCCGGCCGGGCAGGGGGGGGACGCGGACGAGCTCTTCGACGTCAAGAACAGTTTCTACATCGGCGCCTACCAGGCCGCCATCAACGAGGCGCAGCGGGTCAAGGTGGGAGCTGCGCTCGGGGGTCCCTGGGCCCCCCCTGAAAGCGGCCCCGCCCGTCCCGGGGGTGCCCCGTCTAGCCCCGCCCATCCCAGCAGGGGGTGACCCCCTCCCCCCATCTCTTCCCCCCCTCTAGCCCCGCCCGTCCCGGGGGTGTCCCCCTCTAGCCCCGCCCATCCCAGCGGGGGTGACCCCCCTCCCCCCCGTCTCCTCACCCCCCTCTGG